CTCAAATAAATAAATAAAATCTTTAAAAAAAAAAAAAAAAAAAAAGAATTAAAAACAAAAGATTTATTTGACAGAGAGCACGCACCTGTGAGAGGGGGGAGGAGCAGGGGAGAGAATCCTCAAGCGGACTCCCTGCTGAGCACAGATCCTGACCCTGGCTTGATCCCAGGACCCTGAGATCATGACCTGAGCTGAAACCAAGAGTCAGCTGCTCAACCTACTGAGCCACCCAGGCATTCCTCATGTTATCTTTTGCCTTACCCTAGATTAGGTAACCAGGTACCTTCTATTAGCTTAGTGGTACTATTATGACACTTAAAAAAACTTTTTTTGGGGGGCGCCTGGGTGGCTCAGTTGGTTAAGTGTCTGCCTTCGGCTCAGGTCATGGTCCCAGAGTCCTGGGATCGAGTCCTACATCAGGCTCTTTGCTCAGCAGGGAGTCTGCTTCTCCCTCTTACTCAAATAAATAAATAAAATCTTAAAAAAAAAACACCACCACAAAACTTTTTTTATGATTTTATTTATTCGTCAGAGAGAGAGCACAAGCAGGAGTGGCACAGCAGGCAGAGAAGCAGGCTTCCTGCCGAGCAAGGAGCCCAATGTGGGACTTGATCCCAGGACCCGAGCTGAAGGGAGACGCCTAACCGACTGAGCCACCCAGCCGACCGACACTTCTTTTTACTGTGTCATACATAAGGGGAAGAAAACAAGCAGATTCATAGTCCCCACCCCCCTAAGAAGGTTCCTGTTTCCAACCTAAACAAAAACAGTAAAACTTGCTTTTGTTATAGATCTACAAGCCCTCTATCCTGGCATTTGACTAAAGGAATTGAATAGCCACTGCCGCCACACAATGTCAAGGGGCAAAAATGTCACAAGACAGAATCACAATCCTGCAATATCAGACCAAAGGCATTCTTTAGCCAAAGTGGGAATCAACTTCAGTTGTCCCAAATTCAACTGTCACCACATCCACTCAAACAATCTTTAATGATAGTAAAGAAAATGACTGAGTAGCTATTACATACTATGCACTGTGCCAGGACTCACAAAGTACAGGATGTTGTTTCTGAATAAGAATAATCAGAGAGACATCAAAGGAGTAGAGAGGGCTCTCCAAATTGCTGACGTTGACAAAGTTTTGCTTCTGTTGCATTTTAGCCCTTGATGCAAAATAACTGCCTTTTATTGGACTACACCCACCTCACCTCATAGAACTTGAGGAAATTATAACCTACGTGCCTAGCTGAACATAGTAATCTCCACAGGCCATAGGAGTTTGCCGTGGTTGGCAAAGAGTTACTCAATAAAAGCAGCAAAGATCAGACGGAAAGCTTAGTATACACTCACATCCTTCTCCTGGATGGTGCACTCCTTACAATAATAGGCATCAGAGACTCCAGGGCCTCCACAGATCACACAGCGCCCCTGGTAAGAGCCATAATTACACTCATCGCAGATGCGCACCAGAGTGCAGGGACGCACGTAGGAGTCACAGATCACACATTTGCCATCACCTGTGAAGAAGAGAGAATGGAATTATGCCCACATGCAAGTATCTCCTTAAGTCTACTGCCCTCCTCCTGCTATGGGGAAATACGGTAGTCTCCACCTGATTGTGACTTTAGGACCCTCTATTTTGGTTATCACAAAACTCAGCTAACCCAGCGTCCATCTCAATCCCTTCAACATGTAAGTTAACCAACTAATATATAAAGAGGTTAGAACATCGCCTCATAGACAAGAACTCTCTATCATTACCGACAAAGAACTGTGTATGTGTGTTTTAGGGACGGGGTCAGGCCATCTCCTGCCCAAAGCTAGAGATTTTCTCAAAACGTAAACACAGGGACGCCTGGGTGGCTCAGTTGGTTAAGCAACTGCCTTCCGCTCAGGTCATGATCCCAGACTCCTGGGATCAAGTCCCGCATCAGGATCCTTGCTCAGCGGGGAGCCTGCTTCTCCCTCTGCCTGCCGCTCCCCCTGCTTGTGCTCTCTCTCTCTCTCTGACAAATAAATAAAATCTTTAAAAACAAACAAAACCCCTAAACATAATGTTTAAAATGTGCAAGTTGGAGCGGGGAGATGGAGAGGGCTTTGGTTGCAGCCTAGTACTCAATGTTCACATACTTCCAGGCACATCTACTCAAAACCCTCTTTGTGTTACTGCTGGAAATGCCCGTTTGCTGGCTTTACACAAACTTGGGGTGTAAAGGAGTGGGGTGTTCGGGAGGGCGTGTTCCACTCACATTTTTCACACAGTCTTCCGATGGCTGCAAGATCAAAGATGGTAAAGAGTACAGTTAGAATTAGTTTTGACGAAGATCCTCGAGTTTGGGGTGGCGACACAGCAGGGACTGCAGTGAGCCTTACGGGCTCTTATCCGTCTTACCTTCCTCGTAAGCTTCCGTGCAAAGCAAACCCACACCCTTCGGAGGCCGCTCCCAGGTCCTGGGCAATCTGAGCTTCCCCGGACCTCACTTCGGCCGCCCGCCTCTGGCTCCCAGCACGCGCGCCCCCGCCCTCTTTCCATCAGAGCCCACAAACCCGCGCGCTCCCATGCTACCAACCGTGAGGCGGGAAACGTGGCGCCTCCGAGGCAAAACCCTAAGGATGAGATGGGAGCCTCTGACCCCCCAGCTCCTAACACCATCCCCACCCAGACAGCTGGGAGCAGAAAGCTGCCTCACCAACACCAGCCTGCTTGCGGCAAAAGATCAAATCCGGATGATGTTTAGCCATAGTCCAAACGCTAGCCGGCCACCGGAAGCTTAAAGAACTTCCGTCTGACCTTTAGCCTCCATTTTCCAGCTTCCCGGTCGCTGTGATTGGTCCTCCAGGCTTCATCAAGACCGGTTCGCTCTCGCCCGCTCTGGCTCGCTCTCGCGTGATCAAAACCTCAAGTTAAAAAGTAGGAGTTTCCGTCGTGGCTTGGGAGCCAGGTCCTGGCAGATGCATGGAAGTCATTAAAAAAAAGCCTTTCCCAGATTTGGATGGAAGAGACAACTGAAACTTGCCCTTCGATAACACATTTATGTGCCCGGTATTTACTTCCGCAAGTGTTTTTATGCAGCTCTTTTCCTTTCAGGCCTCCGTTTCTAACACGGAAGCTCCGCCCACTGCGCTCGCCGGGATCTGGCCCCTCAACGGAGGCTCCGCCTTCACCGTTATGCATTTCTCTTTAGGCCCCGCCTCTGCCCCAAAGCTTTAAATGCGCAGTGGTTCACGTCATTTTCACGCGACCTCATCTTTGTCAGTGCACAAAATGGCGCCTTACAGCCTACTGGTGACCCGGCTGCAGGTGAGCGAGTTCAGGGCCCTCTGGGTTCATGAGGGCGGGGTGCCTCCTACTATGCCTGCGGCTGTGGGCGAGGCAAGGCGAGGCGGGCTCGACCTCCCGCCGACTTTTCGTGTACCTGTCCGGACCGCGGGCCTAGCGCCGGTGCCGGCTCCTCCCGCGCCCGAGGTCAAGGCGTCCCGGCTCGGCTCTCCCGGTCCTGTCCCCGCCCCGTGGCAAGCGTAGGTCTAAGCAGTGGCTGTCAGGTGAAGAGTGGAGGCACCCCTTTCTGAGGACTGCACTCTCCTCTCTTGTAGGGTGTCTTTCCGTTCCTCAAGGTGAGGACAAGGTGACTGAGGGGGCGCAGTCATTGTGGAGCCCGCTAGGCCCAGAGTCTGAAGGCCTCATTTCTCATCTCTCGGCAGCAGAGTCCTGCTAGCCAGGTGCATCTACGATTGCCAGGCCTGGAGACTGTAGAAGAGTTTAGTACCCTGTTCCAATTTAAAAGGATCCTGTGGAACATATAGCCAAGAATGCAAGGGGACTTTCCTGGCCCAGACATAGTAAATAGTAACAATAACAGTAGTCTCTCATCTTTGCAAGATTGCAAGACTGTTCTAATTCCTCATCATATCATTTGATTATTCATATAATCATTTATTCTCATTGGATAGGTGACAAAACTGCTAGAAAGTAGGTGAAAGTTTGTGCTCTCTTGAGTGTCACCGAGGTGATGTGGCCGGAGCATCTGCACTACTTACCCTTTTGTTCTTGTTCATGTCAGTCTGTCTTTTATGAGCCAGAGTGTGATCCTTGAGCTGACATTTGTATTTGTGAGAGTACTAGTATAGAGTATTTTGAGCTCAGTTGCTTTTCAGTTACTAGGTGGGAGGATAAAGAGACTCAACAGTTTGACCTTGACTCTCCTGTTATGAACTATCTATTAAATTGATTGTGACTGCCGGATGGTTTTCTTCACTCCTAACTTAACAACACTAGGGAGGTTTTATATGTAAGGTTTCAATGTCAAGCATGTGTTGTTGTTTTTTTTAAGATTTTATTTATTTATTTGACAGAGACAGCGAGAGAGGGAACACAAGCAGGGGGAGTGGGAGAGGGAGAAGTTGAGCAGGGAGCCCGAGGGGCATCAGACGAGGGACGTCAGACACCGGGCTAGATCCCAGGATCCTGAGATCATGACCCGAGCGGAAGACAGTCGCTTAACCGACTGAGCCCCCCAGGCGCCCCAAGCATGTATTTTGTTAATAAAGCAAGCAATAAAGTAGACATTCTCTAACAACCTTTACATTTAACTTTGTGAATCTGTTTTGAATCAAGTGGCACAGCTTTGATTATAAAATTAAAGAAGTTATGTGCTATACTCTCAGGAAGCATTGTGTTACTAGGGTTTTGTTTTGTTTTTTTAATCACATTGCTTAAATTTAGACCATAGGGTTTAAAATGAAATTGGGGCACCTGGGTGGCTCAGTCATTGAGCATCTGCCTTCCGCTCAGGTCGTGATCCCAGAGTCCTGGGATCGAGCCCCGCATCGGGCTCCCTGCTTGGCGGGAAGCCTGCTTCTCCCTCTCCCACTCCCCC